GGAAGACCCAGGACACGCTGGAGGGACTATGTCTCTTGGCTGGCCTGGGAACGCCTTGGCATTCCCCCGGAGGAGCTGGAGGAAGTGTCTGGAGAGAGGGAAGTCTGGGCATCTTTGCTTAGACTGCTGCCCCCGCGACCCGGTCCCGGACAAGCGGAGGAAAATGGATGGATGGATGGACGTACAGGTCTCTATTTTTAAGTACTCTATTTTTATTCTGTTTTTATCTAGTTTCCAAATGAACATTCCTTTGTCTGTCTGCATTGTTTGCTGCCTGTTTATACTGTTTATTTTGTTATACTATACAGCCTTATGTTGCTGTACTGTTTACTTGCCCCTTGCTGTTACCTTGCATGGAGATATGTACATACACATTGAGAGCCGCTGAACCAGACTCAAATTCCTCATGTCCAACACACCTGGCCAATGAAGCTGATTCTGATTCTGATACCTTCGAAGCAGATGCTCGGACAAGCTCTACCACCAGTGAAAGTACTGCTAGCAGCACAGGAGGAGAGCTGCTCTGCATTGTTCGAGGATTTTATTACTGAGCTATGAGCAGGATGCACACTTTTTGTTTATCTGACTGTGTGGAAATCTAATGATTCATGCCACAGATGAAGAACAAAGATAATTACAACATAAGACTTGTGTAGGCTGATACTGGAGCTCAGTGTGGGGCTCTGCAAGGGTGCTGAGCTGACATAACCTGGGCAGTGGAGTGAATAATATAGCTCTCATTTAGAAGGGAAGGTGGATTCAACAAAAGACATGAGAAATCATGTTCAGTGTTACCAGAGATGATCCCACCCTCCACTGAGTCAAACCATCACTTTGTAGAGCTGAATTAAAATTGTGATTTGAGGACAATCCTAGACTGGTGTGAAACCACTTTTACAGCTTATTTTGAATAATACACTCACTCCTACCTTCTCAATGTTGCCATAAAGGCAGAAGAGGTTGAAGATGCGGGTGCAGTTCATCTTGGAAGGATGGAGGCCGCTCACCATGGCAACAGAGCTAGGGGCGTGGCCAGAGTATGAGGAAGATGACTGAGGCAGAGGGTAGGACACCATGTCTGGAGCATCCACTGAGGTGAGCTTGTACCTGCTGTTGCCAGGCAGAGGCAGCAGAGGACAGGGTGAACCTGAGGAGGCACAGGCAGCAAGAGCTGATACTGTATTCTCACTTCAGTTCAATATGCTTCACTGAAATGAATGTCAGGAGAACAATACTGCATGTATCTGTTGTTGCTACAGTAGATGCAGCTGTGCCACCTTCAGGTGGGGTTCCACTATTTGCAAGAAAACCTTTTACAAGGAACTCCCCTGGTGACCTAAACTAGCTATAACCTTTGTTATATAGGCACCTGTATAAGTAAATGTGTTTTGTCTCCTTTTATACGTTGCCTGAATTAAAGATGCAAATTTAACACAGAAAAAAATTCCTGTATAGTAGACAGCAATGATTAACTCAGAGTTGGGCTGTTAATTCTTTCTTTCTCTCTGTTTCTCTGCCTGACAGGTCATAAATGAATCCAATTAGATAAAATTCCTTTCTCTGGATTCAAATTACTGCCCCCTAGCAACCATTCAGTTCTGTGTGCAAAAATCAATGAGACTTAATGCGTGTAACGTCCACTGTTTAAGGCTACACTGCTTTTAATGCTGTAAGTATAGTTTTTTTATTTTGAGCATACAGTATCTCTGTGTTGTGACCGCCTGGCAACCTGTCCAGGGTGTCCCTAGCCTCTCATGTATGTTTTTACATTTATTTACTGGACAAATTTCAGTTGAACAGTTCTCACTTCTTCAAAGGGCATTCAGTTGCGATGGTTAATGGAGTAAAGGGGTAGGGAATGTATTATATCAATGAGTGTCCACACAACCATAGAAAGACAAATATGATATTACTCTTGTTGTGGGGACGTAAATCTGTTTATACAGTCAAACTGTGGGACTGACATCCTTACTGGGACAGAAAGCAAGTCCCCAAATATAAATGACAGCATTTTAGAATGACGATTGGTCTAAGGTTAGGGATGGGCAAGTAGTGGTTGAGGTTAGGGTAAGTCTCCAGGAAAAGAATGTCAATGTAATGTCCTCTGAAGAAATGGAAACACAACATGTGTGTGGGTGTGTGGATAAAAGGAGGGAAGTGAAACAGAAACTTTATATATTAATCACGTTGTGATTCTGTCTAATTCTGAGTATGGAACAGCAGTATGGATTCATCTGTATGGATTAGTGTTGTGAGACAAAATTAATTAAAGACGCCAAATTCAGATGAAGGTTTGTCTACTGCTGCACCTCTGACCACCACACAACTGGCAATCTACACCTATGTTGGCTGAATGTGAGCATGTGTGTGTTTGCTATACTGTAGGTCAACCTGTTAGGAGAGTGTGGTGTTTCACCTCAGACGTATGGGCACTGTAGATTAAGTAGCAGCCTCGGGGAAGGCAGCAGATTCAGTTACCAGTTTAATTCTTAATGTGTGTGTGTGTGTGTTAGTCTTACCGTTACCATTCTCACTGTAGGATGATGGGTGTTCTCCTAAAATGGCCTGTCTTTGCCTTCCCTTTCCACGGTCTGAAACACACAAACACACACACACACATTATTGCTGCTCCCACAGTAATTAACTTAAAAACAATGGGCTTCTGTCACAGCTATAGGCTTTGCACTGTTATTTACTTCTTCAGAAGACTAAGTAGAACTGGAAAAGGAATTTAATCCAGAACAAGGCCACATCAGACTCCTTCTGTATGAAACTTACTCATGGTTGTTCGTCCCAGACAGGGCTAAAATTGAATTCTGGGGCTGGTTGATTACAACAGACAGTTTTGGTTGTGTGATTTTCACATTTGTTCACATTTGTTTTCTCTTTCAATTAAGTCTGACTAACATGGGAATTTGTTTACAATCTGTTTGATCATCTGACTTCGTTTTAGCCCATCTGACCGATCTTTAGTGACAGTGATGTCTTTTTGCTGAGATCCTGAATATATATATTCTTTAATACATAGCCAGTAACGCCACACATCAAGTATGAGTTTGAATCTTGAAGGGAAATTGAGCTTGTTACATGATAAATATGGAAGCTGTCAGTCATTAGTTGGAAACAGGAATAATAATGGACATTTCCTGTCAGCAACCCCTATAACTGTCTTATTAATCATAATCAGATTACTAAGTAAAAGATGCAAGGGTTTGGTGTACACAGCAAAGCACAAGGTGCACCAGTGGCCAGAGGTACATGGCGCATTAGCAACACAGCTGGAGATAATCTTGTCCTTGTGCAACATGCACAAATACAAACAGGAAAATTCCGTTGTACACACTATGAAGCCGACCCTCGAAATACTGCCCAGGCAGAAATGGCCTTAATTAATAACTCATATAACGTACATGAGAGCTCATGAAAAAGATGGGACTTTTAAGCAGTGAGTCATTTCTGCTTCACTGCTGCCGTGTATTAGTCAGACATTAGAATAACAAAAATAAGTTAAAATAGGCAGAAGCTCCAAAGGAGTGTGAAGTGACAGTGTCAGATGGGTTGCTGCCTTATTTACATGCACTCTACAGTTTTTTTGCTTTCAAAATACATTTGTCTCTATAAACCACACTCATGAGTAATGTTGTAGGTGAGGAAATAAGAAATAAACGGTTTGAAGGTGGTTTTATTAAGAGAGGCAGGTATAATCAGAATGTTACAGAGAAGCTCATGTGAACAGAGATATAAAAGACACAGTACCTGTGATGCATCAAGCTTTCTCTTTTTTCTCCCTCAGCACGAAAGAACATCAACCTGCATTACATTATCACCATAACGATAAAAAAAAAAAAAAAATCACCATCATCACTATGGCTGTCAAACACATTTACAAAGACACTGGTCCCTAATTTAACCGTGCAAGCGCAACGACAAGCCCAAAAGTGCAAGGTCTTGAGTGCACAGACTGAGGAAGTCTCCAAGTGCACCTTGGGTATTTAGTTTATGTAGGTGCAGCAGCACAAAGTGCAGACGAGCTTTATGAAGGTGAATATAGACGGGAGGGTAAGATGATGAATAAATACACTGTCAGCCAGTCACAGCACTGGTCTCATCACTGGGAAACAGCTGAGCCAGTCACAGAAAAGCACGATGACAACAGATCCATTGAGGAAAAGAGGCTTCACCAGGAAAACAAGGAACTGGGTGGAGCAGCCTGAAGAAGTTGATGTGTTTTATTTTTGTTTGTTTGTTTGTAAAAGATGATCACAGATAAATTCTAGAAATGTTGATGAAACTGCTTATATTTCCACATCAGTCCGACGGTCTGTATCATAAGGCATTTCAAAAAGAAATCATTAAATGCCACTTTTGCTAAAAAGAAAGTTGGAAAAGAGGCAATGTCAAACGTGATCAATGAGCCCCTGGTCTCCCACCGAAACAACAACCAAACTTGCCTCATGTGTGTATGGGGTTAACTTTAGCAGCCCGGTGTCATTTGCATTTGATTTAATGAAGGTAAACACAGTGGACGGTCATGCGTACTTGTATGCGCTCTGATGTGACACTTCTCCAACCAGAGGCTGCACATTTATCACATGTGTGCTGCTGCCTTCAGATGGATGCAGATATCACACCAAAGTATGATCTGGATCCACATTTCAGATGTGGTGAACCAGAATGTTCATACTTTCAATCAAATAATGATGGCAATGGTTCCAATGCTAGGAGTGGGTTGTCATGGTCAAGGAATCGTATTTGAGGGTTAAATTATGTTGGGACTATTGCTTTGAGGTGAAATGGCATTATGGAGACAGTGGACTGCCTTGGTGGAGGTTTGCACTCTCTAGGTGCCACTGGTTTAAATCAACAGACCAGCATCAAAGTGCTGCTGTGCCAGAAACAGATGTGGTTTTCTCAGCACAACAGCTTCTACCAGAATACCAACGATTCGCCTTACACTACCTTATTTGAAAGAACGCCCCACCTCTGCACTGTGCACTTGGAGCTTGGCACCAAAATACCATAAACACACAAAGACATTTTCAAGTCATCAGAGCACTACTTGAGCTGGTTGTTGCGCCACCACGAAAATCGGTCCCATTGTATCATCCACAGCAGTGAAAT